AAGGCAGCAGTGATATTCCAGATGAGCCGGTGGCCAGTAGTTGGTTCATTCGCCTCTTCTCTTGTTTGTACTGACTATCCTTCTTGTTGTTTGTGCACGCACCATCATCGGTTCACCCAGTGAACCATGGATTCGAGTTTCACTCCCTCCTCAGAAAAGAAAGTTGGTATTTCCTACCCAACAAAGGCCAGCCGGTCAGTACGAGACGTATTGAGGAGAAATCGGGGCGTTGACCCTTGTTCAGGGAAACATGTGCCTACGATAGTTTTGAGGCGTTTGTTGGCTGGTATGCAGATTCATTTTCAAACACACTAGGTGTGTAGATTAGGGTTTTCTAAATGATAACCTGGTTCCATTTGTTTGACTAAAGGCAGTATTTAATAATCTTGATGCGTTCAAGCCATCTTCACAACTTCAGATTACTGGGGCAACCGGCACGACTGATTTCCGTGTTCGAATAAGTGAATCTCGTTAAGCTGATGTATCACTGATGCCTAATCAGGTAGATTAAAAGCCATTTCACTTCCCCGTCTTGCTGTTTTATTCGAATTACGTCATATTGTTTATGAGAGATACCGTGATCACATGAACCTGAACTATTATGATAGCTTTATATCGGTTCGGTTTTGAGAAATTCTGAAACGAGTTTCCTGTTGTTATCTTTCCTGGTAATCCGTCGTGAATGTGCTTGCAAATTTGAATCAATCGCAGAGTTCTAAACGGCCGATTGCTCATGTGTTTTATCCACGATTTTCTCACCATGAGATGAAATAAAAACTGGGTGTATTGCTGTTTTCTCTTCGTACTCAAACTAAGTGCTATTTCCCATGTGAATACAACGGAACACCGTGTGTCAGTGTTGGTTCAATTCACTAAATATCGACGGTGGTCGGCGTTTGCAAGCGCGTTTCTATTTCCCGGATCCCATATCATAAGTGAACAAGTGGCGTGTTGGTATGTGTTGATATTTGTGTTATTTACCTTTTTCATATCGTGCTACATTCGATTGTCACATTACTCCATTGTAAACTTCAAGCTGCTTTTTAACAGAAGAATTTCTGTGATCAATTCATTTGGAGAACTATGTGAATTTACGCTTCCCCATTTGATTTTCATTTCGTTTTTCCTCTGTCTGAGGTTAATGAAAAAGAATTTCTCACAACATATGGATGATTCGCTTTGTGCGTGCGTTTTTCTAAATTCTATAGGAGTTTCGGTGTCAGGGAATTCACGACGTGAGTTTTTTCATCTGTGTCAATTGCGCCCTCGTTTTCTTTCAAGCGCTCTTTATGGTAATCTAGGTTTAACAACGCACCGTTTGCTGATTAGCACTGTGAACACTACTTTCTCTCTGCGGTACTATTTGGATTTCACTCCTTATTCCCATTTATTTGCTGTACTTCATTCTGTTCCCTTTCCATGCTCTTCAGGCCTGTCCGTTCCGGACCGTATGCGATCTGTCGGCACACCACCCAGTGTGGTTGTGTCTCCTCTTCTCCAAAATGAGGACGGTGGTTCCGAGAACAAAATTGGACGCTCCACCAGTTCAGAACCGCGAGCTGGTACTGCGAATCGATCGTTTTCGTTCACTGACTACGCTCCCGCCGGTCATTTGTCAGCTGATGAAAATGATGTGACTGCAGACACGTCGAGTCAGCCTTTCCTGACTGATTATCGTCGTCTTCGTGCCGGAAACCAACCGATCCACTTGTTTGTCATGCATCCGAAACACGAAGATACGATTCGTCTAGATCCGGGAATAAATAAAATTACATTAGTCAGCCAGGTATGCCGAAATGCAAGCACTTTGGCTGTTTGGTCCAATGCCAAGTCTATATTTTGGAGGTTTAGGTGCTTGCAGTAGTTGTGTTTGGATTAACGACTACGAGACTAAGGTGGTTCGCCACTCCAACCCCCAAATTTAGGATTGCCGGTTATCATGAGTAAGGAACAGGTCTTCGTTACCGTGGCGTCTTTCCCTTCGACTGTTTGTCTTACAATGGCGTTTAGAACAAATCAGATTCGTTGTATAGATCGTGCGCAGAAAACATGAACTGGATACTCAGTCAAAAACACGTCCGGCGATTGCTATTAATCGTATCCCTTGGACTCCCGCTTTGCTACTAACTACTCCGTCTTGTCAGATAAAGTCGACTGTTGCTACTACATATACGTCTAACTTTGTCCCACCCGCCGATGAGTTCACATCTTTCCAGTAAAAATTGCCGTAAAAAGTGTAAGAATATTCAGGCAATCTAATTGAGGGACATTCCTCATACACCTGCAAAGTGTTAACCAGCGTCAACACTAAAACAGCCGCATTGTCGAAGCCCTTCCGCTGAACATCCGAATCATTAATCATTTGTCATATATTAGGATTAGTCGTTTGAATACTCTGACAACAGAATCACATGCCCAAACCTTATCACCTGTCAAACGAAACAACAGAATTACTTGCGGATGTCTACTACGATGATTCTGCTCAAATTACGTTGTCTTACACTTATTGTGGTAAAATTGGATGACGAGAAGTATGCCCATAGGTGAAAAACAAATACGCGTCATGCAAAAAACTGCTTGCGTGTAATAACAATCTGCTTTATTTAAACTGACCACTGTCATTCATTGAATTAGACAGTTTCTACCCGCAGTTTAAAAATATCGTTCCCAATTTCCCCCTGCTACATTGAGCTACAAGCATTCCACATCATACCCAACACATTGTGCTTATCATTCTTTTGTGAATTGTTTCTCCATTCTCATCTTTTTTTGAAAATACATTGTCTCCACAACACCTGTTGGAATTGTGATATATTATTCGTAAGCATTATTTAGGTCGCAGTATTTGAGGGACCTAAGAGCTCACATTGAGCTCAATAGTATTCCCCTTATCCGTAAGTGACCATCATCACCTGATCCCAGGGTATCACGGTATCAATAGGTTACAGTTTCGGTTTAACTACTTCTAAGTAGTGTGACCATCCAATTCAAAAATGAACCTCCACTTATCGCAAATTGCGGATCCTGGTGGAGCAAATTTGAGATATATAGATTTTCCATAATTTATATATAATATACGTATAACAGTTGATAATGAAACCCGAATACCATCAGCTGTCTGTCATCTCCGTAAAGTGGTTTATCATTTTAACTCATTGGGTTCATGAATGCCTCCGGCAAACCGTCTTCATGTTTGTTTGTGCGACTTATTAGTGTATATACGTGTAATCCTGTATTCCATTTAGTAATCCCTCTCGTGGTAACTGAATTTCACTTATCTCAGAGTCCCGGATTCCTCGTACCCGGAGATATTCGAATAAGTGTGCTTAGCCGCATCTCGAAGAACCGTCCCTCGACTACTAAAAATGAAAGTGAATCTTCTGATACCACGCTACATCTGGTCTCTCGTGTCCAAGCCAAGCATTTCGATTCAACTTGGTCCAGTCCAAAGTTACTGGACTCGTTGCTGCCAACAGTGCATTATTATGGTCAAATGGAAATAATGCGACCTCTTCGTGGTACGTCAGTGCAACCGGAAATCTACGAGCGCGTCACACGAAATTCGTGATATTTTAAATTTTCTGGACCCAAAACATCCTTAT